ATATGCATCCGAAGAAGTGGGCTGTAGTCCACGAAAGCTTATGCTCTAATAAATTTGTTAGTCTCTAAGGTGCCACAAGTACTCCTGTTCTTCTTTTTGCGGATACAGACTAACACGGCTGCTACTCTGAAACCTAAGACAAAAGTTGTATGAACCAGTCCACAAGTTTTTAGTGAGTATTGTTTTGTGTGGGTGGGTGGGAAGGCAAAACATAAAGAGCAGGCAAGAAAGACTGGAAAGAGAGACAGCCTGAAGGAGCAGCTAAAAGCCCGGTGGCTGACACAGGAAGAAACCTGGGAAGAGGTTTTTGGGTGAGGGGTGCAGGCTAAAAGAGTGCTCTAGGTGCCGTGAGCAAAAGGAGCTGTTTTCTGCTGTTTGATTCCTTCTGAGTTCAGTGATACAGAACTTTGTACACTTCATATCTAAACAAAACTGCAAAGACATAGCTGATTACCTCCAATTTCTACTCCCGCCTGGAACACCCATAGGGCCCCAAACTTTGACTAGCCACTTGGGTCAAAAGGCACAACAAGTGTAGAGCTATAGTGGCAACCCCCACTTTGCAGTGATGCGTAAAAACAGGTGTCTCAAACTCCATTTACCTTAGGGCCAGTGCCAGTCCTCAAATCCTCCCAGTGGGTCAATAATGTCACTGAAGATGGTGTTCAGAAAAGAAAACGTTTATATTGTATTTTTTATTTCGAACTTCTTAGAAATAATAAAACTATCATACAACTTTATACAATTCTTCACCTGCCAGAGAGTTTTAGTGTTTGCCAGACACCTGGGCAACGCTTCAGTTCTGTCAGTTTGTTGATGTTTGGCCTCAGTGACTGAGCAGTTGAAACCTTCGGGATTGCAGCAAAGTGTGCGTCGGATAGTTGTGTTCGGTATTTTGACTTGTTTATATTCATTGTGGAAAAAAGTGACGCTGCCTCCATGACTGATTCTGCCTGGCAACTAATGATGCTGCCTCCATGGCTGACTCTACCCGGCGACTAGTGATGGTAGCTCTGTCCCTCTCCCCCAGCCAATGGGAGCTGCAGGGGGCGGCGCCTGCAGCAGACATTGCCAGCAGCATGTCTGCCTGCATCTCTCGTCCACAGTGGGGAGGTTCTCAGGCCGCAGATGGCCCGTGGGCCAGGACTTTGAGAACCCTGCTTAAAACAGTTCCCTGAACGCAGTAAGCTATACTGGCAAAAGGACTTTTTGCTGGTATAACTGCATATTCACTAGGGTTTTTGCCAGCACAGCTCTGTTGTTAGGGGTGTTATTTTTCACATTCCTAATGGAGATAGCGACATAGACAAAAAATGTAAGTGTACACTTAGCCGTGTCTACACTACAGCGGCACAGCAACAGCACAGCAGCTGTGTCTCTGAAGTGCTGTAATGTAGACACTTCCTACATCAACAAAAGAGGTTTTTCCATCCATGTAGGCAATCCACCTCTCCAAGAGGTTGACCTACCTGCATCTACAGTGGCGGCTAGTTTGACCTAACTATGGCGCTCACGGCACAACGTTTTTCACAGCCCTGAGCAACATGCCTCGGCTGATCTAATTTTTAGGTGTGGACCAGAACCAAGCTAATCCAACTGTGTCCACATTAGGGGTTGTAGTGATGTAACTCTATTTGTAAAAAAAAAGTCACCCACCTAACCAATATAGTCATACTGGTATAGAGCCTGTGTAGCCAGGCCTAAGGGTTTGATACTGCAAGTCAATCTATTTCCAAAACGTGGGAATTCATGTCTCACCTTATAGAGCTGTCACACACTCAGAGATGCTTGTCAGTCAATGAACACTATCGGTGACCTATGCCCTGCAGCGATTCAGCTGCATTGTGTCCTTAGAAAAATACTTTGGGGTCGGGGGGCAGAAAAGGTCTGTTTTAATAGTGGGCTCTGGCTGAAGCAGCTCTGGACAGTTATGTCTGTGGTGATAAAAGCGTTCACTAGGTTAGTACTAAACTGGAGCAATCCTGTGCTTGACAGAAGGAGTCAGATTTCAGAATTGCAGCGGTAAGGTGCAGGGAGCTGTTTCTTTCCCTCAACCAGAAATGGCAGCGTGTTTCGAAGCAGCAGCGGTATGGGTTTTTTTCCCTTGATTACTTTCTATGTTCTTGTTTCCTTCTTATCCTAATCCTGTTTACTTCGGGGCTTATGGCCTCCCGGCACCCACCGCTCTTCCACATAGATGCATGGAGCAATATCACCAAATTAGACACAGTTCTGCAGCAAGTAGGGCAAGTGCCATTAGAAACACTCTGCAGCGGCTTCTGTAAAGCAATACAGTCCCGGACTAACTGGCACCTAGCTAGCTGAAGAGACACGTTAGGTATCCCTCTAGCTCCCATCACCACAGTATCTGAGCACCTCACAGCCTTTAAGTCAATCTATTTCCAAAACGTGGGAATTCATGTCTCACCTTATAGAGCTGTCACACACTCAGAGATGCTTGTCAGTCAATGAACACTATCGGTGACCTATGCCATGCAGTGGTTCAGCTGCATTGTGCCCTTAGAAAAATACTTTGGGGTCGGGGGGCAGAAAAGGTCTGTTTTAATAGAGGGCTCTGGCTGAATGTCTTTAATGTATTTGTCCCCTGTGTGGTAAGGCAGTGCTATTATCCCCATTTTAAGGTGAGGAACTGAGACACAGAAAGACTAAGTGACGTGACCAAGGTTGCACAGGAAGTCTGCAGCAAAGCAGGGAATTGAACCTGGGCTAATAGACCTCAGGATCTAGGGCATCAATGTGTTGCACCAACATCACCTTCATGAAGTATTTATATTTGCACCATTGCTAAGCAGGAGAGCGGTTACCGTTTTCCATTTATGTCGTGGTAGCACCTAAAGGCCACAGGCAAGTAGGGCCCCTATTTGCTGCCTTTTTTTATTTACAATGTTAGAATAAAATGTTATAATTTATTTGTACTACAGTAGTGCCCAGAGCCCAGTCGTGAATCAGGACTTCATTGTGCTAGGCGCTGTATAAACACAGAACAAAGTATGCTCCCTGTCCTGAACAGCTAACAATCTCCGTATAAGAGGAGAGGGACAACAGATGAATGCAACAAATAGATGAGGACCAGCACAAGGAAACGAAGAGATAAGAATAATGTAGATCATTAGTGGCATAGATGAGACCCGGATGTAACCTCAGATCTGAGTCAAATATCTGAGACTAAACCAGTTTCTTGGGTTTTAGTTCTAGATCTAGAAGGTGGCCATTTTCTGAATCCATTTTGTTGTTAAGGTTTTTGCTTTGTTTTGTGGGAGTGGGGGGTGGGGAGAGAAGATGGTAGAAATTTCAGGACAACAACATCTAGTCTCGTAACAGTTCAACCACTGTGAACAGTGGAAATCACGCAAGATCAGTGCCTCTTGCAATATGTCCACCTACTGTCGGACAAAAATCTCAGGAGATCAGTTAGGATCTCATGAGATTTTTGAAAGGTAAGATCCCATCTGATTTTTGCAGTTGTGAGCATAATTTTCAGGAGGGCTGTTTGTGAGGGTGTGCGCCCTTTTTGTTTAAATCTGTAGCTGGAAACCAGGCAGGGGAGGGACGGGGTATGTTTCTAATTAGAAGGTCAACAGTAATAGAGAGAGAAGCAAAACAGTTTTAGAGATAATGCTTTCTGCACTCTAATGAATGTCCTTGTTCAGGGTTAGAAGAAGAAAAGTGATTCTTTCTGTGATTCTTTACCATTGATGCTTGACTCAGTTTTTAATACTTTTGTGCTGTCAAACCCAAACTTTAGCCGAGACTAAATGTGGAATGCAAACACCATTTGCTTGGTCCATAACTTGCCCAGATAGCAAGTGTGAAAAATCAGGATGGGGGGGGGGAATAGGAGCCTATGCAAGAAAAAGCCCCAAATATCGAGACCGTCCCTATAAAATCGGGACATCCGGTCACCCCACTATCAGGCAACAGCACTGTTTAAAGATAATGTTACTTACCAGTAACAGTGTGATGTAGGTAAACAAGACTGCAGCTAGAATCAGAAGAAGAACAGACCAGAGAAACCAGTGGCCTACGTTTCCATAGTTGTACCTAAAATGCAATAAAATCTTGTAAACTGTCTGCAATTATTAAGAGTTACATTTAAATAAATGTAAGTAATAAATTCCCTTCCATCCCCCCACACTCCCCTCCTGAAGGAATACAGCTATGCATTTTCTACTAGGAGGAAACATGTTCATCTAATGGAATCCACCTTCATAAAACTGGAGTGACCATAACACAAATGGCCAGGTAGGGATACAATGTATTTCTGTAAAAAGCAACAGAGGGTCCTGTGGCACCTTTAAGACTAACAGATGTGTTGGAGCATAAGCTTTTGTGGGTGAATACCCACTTCATCAGACGCAAGTAATGGAAATTTCCAGAGGCAGGTATAAATCAGTATGGAGATAACAAGGTTAGTTCAATCAGGGAGGGTGAGGTGCTCTGCTAGCAGTTGAGGTGTGAACACCAAGGGAGGAGACACTGCTTCTGTAGTTGGATAGCCATTC